CAGACACCAATCGAAGGAAATTAAATGAGCTTCATTGCTGTTAGAGATACACTCTGCTAGTAGCACTGTTTGTCTTATTTATCCTAAGCTAGCAACTGCAACCTTCATTTTGCAAAGTTTACAGACATTGTTTTTGTTTCATATGTGATGTAAAAATTCAACATTTAAAAACTAATTCTTAGTATCTCAGATGCTTATTATTAGATATATGAATATAGGAGATTCTCCAAAAAGAAAGAAATCAGATGTCCGACTACTATGATATATCTTTTATTAATTTAATAGTTAATCATTTTAAGTATTAAGAGAATATGTAAAAAGAAATAGAAAGCTCCACTTTTATTGGGTTTTCTTACTGAATCAATCTTTGTTGGAGGGAAACTACTTGTATCATGTTCTTAAATTCAGTTGTTTGCGTAATAATTTTAGGTATTTCTTCCAAGTTGATTATTTAAATTTTATTTAGGAAAAAGTAGAAAAATTAGTATTCAGTATATTTAGCTTATTTTAAATGTTAGTATACCTGAATTAATCCTCTTTTAAGCAGGTCTGTTATTTTACTTATCATAAAAAGATAATTGTCTTGCAGTCTTTCATTGTTGCTTATGTAATTGTTATTAGCCAAAAAATTCGCCATAGGATCCTTCAAAGATTCATATTTTCTTAATTGGCATTTTAAAAAGATAATTTTTGGGTCATGATCTGTTAGCCAACTGCAAATACTAAATTAAATTAAAACTTACATACGTAATTAAAAAAAGATATATAGCAGCTCACTTACTATCCTTTGTGCTACTCAATTTCTGTTAATTTTAAGCAAATATTTCTTTATACCTCACTTAGACATATACCTGTTATTTATATATTAATATTATTCTCTACTATTGTTTTTTAATTATTCCAAATAAAAGGTAAAAAATAAGGTATTCCTTTATTATAAAGTAATTCTATACTTCTTTATTGTTCATCATTTCATTGTAAATATAATATAAATGGGATGTTATTTCCTGTGTTTGTTATACTATAAATAAGTTATATTTATTTTTTATAATAATCTTTATGAAATTACTGCTTATAGTGGAAAACATGGTATCCAATTGAATAAAAATTAACTTATTACACATTGACATTAATGACTTATAAATTTAGAAAGCAAAATTGTAAATGGAATGATAACAAAAGCAATTTTTTTTTATGGTTTAAGCTTTAATATGAAACTTTATTTTAAAGTTTAACTACACTTTATTGTTAAAATATAGAAGACATTGTAATGGAAAGCTCAAGCATAATAAAGCAACATTCATTTTGATGTGTACACTTGAAGTGGCTTCAACTTATGAAGGAAAAAAAAACAGGATAGGTTAGGTAATAAAGATTGATGTGAACGGCAGTGAAGTCTATCCCTATTAATACACATAAACGTTGTGACAATCTGATAGAATTATGATTTGGTTAACGAACTGTTAACAAGAATTTATTAAAGTGAATTGATGTGTTAGAAAAGCCTTGAATATAAACCAACAGAAAGTAATTCTGTTTTGATTACTTGTTTTTACAGACTTATTTTGGATAATTATATTTAATTCATAACTGGTCCAAAAGAGCTATTTTAATTACTCATTGTTTGAAAATCAAACCAAAAAGTTTTCTATTTAATTTAAATAAATACTTTATTCACACACAGTCATAAACAAGAGAAATGGGCTGAATTCTGTTATAAACTAGACCCTAGGAAAGAGAGTCAACATTGGAAAATCATCAAAATTTTGGAAAACACCAATGGAAATTTTCAAACAAACTCAAATATTATTTCAGATGGCAATAGGCCCCTTACCAACGATCTTGATACAGCTAATGCTCTAGCTCAGTGGTGCGCAAACTAGGGGTCGTGACCCCTGTGGGGGTCGCCAAATTTTTATGAAATGCATTATCCCTGCATGCTGCATACCATACAGTGTACATATAAAAAGTGAAGCGCCGTCACTCACTGTTTAATTGCAATTGGATTTCCGAAATGTCACGAAATATCGAGTCAGAAATCATAAACCCCATACAAAATTCAACTAAATAATACTAAAACACTAAAAACCGCTCGCGTTTAAACCCTGAAGATGATATGCGAATTGCAATTAGCAACATACATCCAAACATCGATGAGATAATTAGAAACTAGCAGCCAAATACATCTCATTAAAGGGCAATTTACTGATTTTTGTGTTATACAAAAAGTATTTTCTTAAAATTATAAATAAAATTAATATGAGTAAAATATGATGATGTTTTTATTCGAAGAAACGAAGGAAATGCGCGAAATATACATCGTATTTGTAAACATTTATCTCTAGGGGTCGCCAAAAATTTTCTCTCTACAAAAGGGGTCGCAGTCGAAAAAAGTTTGCGCACCGCTGCTCTAGCTGAACACTACTCAAGGGTTTCAAGACTTAACTACGAAACAGCAGATAAGAAAATACTCACTAGCAGCAAAAGAGTTCTTCTAACTGCGAAAAATGACAACTCAATTTGGGACTTTTCTGGAGACTTCACGCTACATGAGCTAAATGTTTCACTGGCCAAAACGCCATCTAACAAGGCCCCGGGAAATGACCTCATTTTTGCATCGATGTTAAAGCATTTAGGAAGTACTGCTAAAGAGCAGCTACTCACCATCATCAATAAATCCTGGCGAACAGGTAAGATTCCGAAAGAATGGAAAATAACAATAATCATTCCCATCCTAAAACCGAATAAAAACGCTGATAGCCTCTCCAGCTATCGTCCTATCTCTCTAACCAGCATCTTGTGTAAACTGACTGAACGTTTGATTCATTCAAGACTAATACACTGGCTCACCAACAACCAAAAAATTAACTGTTATCAGACAGCTTATAGAGCGCAACACTCAACCACAGACCAGCTCTTTTATCTTTGCCAGTCGATAATTGATTCTTTCCAACAGAAGCCATCAAGAAAAACAACTGCCATATTTCTAGACATGACCTCCTCGTTCGACCGTGTCTGGAGGCAGAGGCTCATTCAAATAGCACACAAAATTGGAATAAATGGAAATGCCCTGATTTGGATTGCAGAATTTTTAAGAGGCAGAGTAATTAGGGTTTAATTTAACGGTGTACTATCCAAAAGGAAACGACTCTGGGCTGGTGTACCACAGGGATCGGTATTGAGCCCCTTGCTTTTCCTTATTTACGTCAATGATTTACATCCTCACATCTCTGAAGAAGCAAAAGTAACATGCTACGCAGACGATATCGCCATCTGGCACAGCAGCGAGAGGATTCAGAAATCTGAAGCTGAGCTTAACAAATCAATGAGAGCATTGGAAAAATGGTCAAGAGACCTTAAACTAGTCATTAATCCTAACAAGACTAAACTCAGCGTGTTCAGCACAAACAGAAAACATCGGCACACATTTTGTCCTAATATCACATTGTTTGACACCCCCATAGAAAAGATTTCTAACCCAAAGTACCTCGGTACTTTGGTATACTTGACGAAGAGCTTCGTTTTCACCACCAAATTCTAGAGTGCTCAAATAGAGCACTAAAAAAGCTCAACATCCTTAGGAGGCTTTGTGGCACAAAATGGGGTGCTGTACCAAAAACACTGAAAACTACTTACACAACTCTTATAAGACCAATAATGGAATATGCCACACCTGTATGGTCACACTCCTCCTCTACTTCAAGAGAGAGACTTGATAAAGTACAAGCAAAAGCTGCAAAAATAATGTCTGGTGCTGTCTCATCAACAAACAACTTAAGAATTCAAGAGGAATGCGGTTTGGTCCCTCTGGAAGAAAGGAGACAAATGTTAACTGTTAAATTTACAAATAATGCCCATAGTCTTGATGAGGGGCACATTTCACATCGTACTATTATAAACTGGAATAAGAAATCTAGATTCAAAAGGTCATCTCCCCTTCTGTTTGACAGGGCCATCAGAGAAAAAATTCACCTTAAACCCGAAGACTGTCTTATCAGAAACGAAACTCCCGCTATTGGAGTTGTTCCAGAGAATACGACAATCTGTCTAGAACTTATCGAGCCCTGCTCGAAAAAAGATCATGCGAATAAACTCAAGGAAATTGGGATGAAAACTAACGACTCTCTATCTTGCCTCAATCATGTCAGGGCTTTTACTGATGGATCTTCTGACTCCACTTTCACCAACGGAGGTGCGGGAGTGGTACTGCTCCTACCTGATGATCAAAAACGAGAGTTCGCAACTGGTGCTGGAAAAATCGCATCTAATTTTACAGCAGAATTGATAGCCATTTCTACGGCTATCGAAACGTACATCAATCTTGAACCTTCGGAGCAGCTTAGTGGTATCACCATCTTCAGCGACTGCAGGTCTGCCTTACAGGCCCTCAGCAAAGGTACCTCAAGCCTTGTCCTGAATATCATAGAACAACTTGGACAACTTCAGCGCCTCCGGAAAAATTGCTTCTTGCAGTGGATTCCCGCCCATGTGAACCTAGAGTTTAATGAAATAGCTGATTCCTTGGCTAAAAATGCCAGAGATCTAAATCAAAACTCAATCCCAACCACGTTGGCAGATGCAAATGCTTATGCAAAATCAAGACTATTCACCCCTTTAAAAATCAAAGCCCACGATCAAATAACTAATCTTGACATCGATAGGAAGACAGCCACTACTCTCATCAGACTAAGAACAAAACATCATAAAAACATGAAAATTTCTACAGATAAGACTAGAAAATATCAAAACTGTGGCAACTGTCTTAATGTGGAACTGACACCATATCATGTTTTTAACTGCCCTGCAGTCGCTGCAGGCCTTCACCTCTTAAACTACCCCACAGAAGAGGATTTGTATTCTTTTAATGCCATAGAAATAACAAAAACTATTCAAGCACACCATGAAATATGATTCAATAGAGGTTACGACACCAACCAACACACAGTCATAATATAATTTATATATACAAGAAAAAAACATATTACTAATGGAAGACAGTTGATTTTTTTTATTGGGATTACTTTGGTTGCTTAATGAGCAGTCCCATGTGATTTAGCATTTTGAATGTTTTTTGCTATGTTTTTTGAAAGCTGGCGCTTCCGCTTAAGTCTTTTTCCTGCAGAAAGAGGTCTCGCACCAGCAAGGAGTCTCCTGCTACTCCGAGATGCAGATTTTCTTCGGCTTATTGAAGTAGGCTGCACCTTAATGCGCTTTGTTCGCCCAGTTGGAGGTTTTGCTTTTACAATAAATGTGCTTTGCAGCTCTCTTGCAGTTTTAACTTTCTTCAGGGAGCTTATCAGCCTAGTTACTGAATTATTTTCTAATTCATCAGAAACTAGGCTGGCAAGTCTGTATAACTCTCCCTTAAGTTGAGCCTGCAATTCTTTTGAGGCTGGTTCATTTTTTTCTTCCTCCAATTCTGGATGAGAGTCTGATGTTATAGGTATGGGGTTTGATATCAAAAGTATCGGACTTTAATTGTTTCTTGAATGATCAAATTCTTCGAAAAAGGAAATGTCCGGGCACTTGCTTCCGCAGGCTAATAATGCCAATTGATGGCGATCTTCCTGGGATATCGGGGGTGCATTGGGGAATTTAATTTTCTTTTGGTCCATCAAAAAGCATTGATGCTTGCAAAATGCCCCAGATACCCCAGCTTTACAGGAGCAAGTGCCTATGTTGGCATTCACCTCATAAAAATTAACACCACTTCTTATCTTAAATAAACCCTCATTTTCACATACTATATTGGTAGTATCAAATGACGTGGTTCTTCTTTGAAGAGTCGCATAAACATTCATACCATCTCTTTTTCTCAAGTAGGCGACATCAAGGAGTCTTTTTTGTATGTAGGACTTCCAGACTCCAATGCAGAATTCTACCAATGCCACAACATTAAAAGCTTTGGTTCGACAGAGCACTGTCTTTTATTATGCGAATTGAAACTTCAGCATAATTATTTGTGTTATGCTGACGAGTGAGTTTATCCTCTCTAAAGAGCAACACCCACTCGTCTCTGCGCTCATAAAATTTTTCAAATCGTTTTATGAAGTCTGGGAACTTGCTCCTTTCTTTTAAAATGTTTGATGTGGCCTCACTCAATTCTTGCTCAGAAGCAGCATACATCACCTACAAGATACAAAAAGTTCACTTTCTTACACATCAGCATTTTAATCTTTATCATGAAGTTTTACTCAGATTGTTTCAAAAAAAATTTTATGTCACAAGATATCCATCATAGTAGACTTTTTCATGTTGAAAGGTACTAAACAGGGTTCGTGATTTTTTTTTACATTTAAATCGGATTTTTTTATATTTTAAATCAGATTTTTTTATTTTTTATTCTAATACATTGTAAGAGCTTTAATTTATGATTAAAAAAACTTTATAAATGTTTTTATCAAAATTAAGTTAATAGTAAAACTATATTATAACAATATTTTAGAAGTTCTAACTTACTAAAATAATTTTACCTTATATGTAATACATAGCTTCGAATACATCATAGCAACCATTTTGAAACAAATGCATGATTGAAATTTAAAGATTAGTTGAAATAGAGAATTTAAAGAATACTACAGGGGTCTGTCTAGGTTTTTCTGAGAGGTACTTATTTTGTGAAAATTTAGACATAATTTGTGAAAATTAAAAAATATATAAAAAATTCAACACAAGAATATGGTAAAAATATGGATTTACTGTTTCTTATGAGACACAAAAATAAAATTTTAAGAAAAAGTATTTTGTGAAATTTCCTAAAGTTGAATTTGTGAAGGTACCGCTAAGCGGTTGTAAATTTGGCTTGGACAGACCCCTGTTCTTTAACTATTAAAATAAAGCTTCAATTAGCAAAATATAGGCATAATTTAAAATTGTGGTTTTTTTTCCCCCTCTTATAAATAATATGACAAAATATATGCAAAAGATTGTGTTTGTAAATGAAGTCATTCATCAAAAAGTAACTAAGTATTTTATCTATACAATTTAATATTAAAATATTCATTTTTAATCCTGTATCAAAATAGATAAGTTAAGCTAAAAAAATTTTTATGTACTCATTGGAATTTTTCTTTTTCACAAAATTTCTTCATAAAAAAATCTGATGATGTCAAAGATGCTGTAAACATATAATAAGAAGAAAAAAATACTATTTACCAGTTAATAACTCTACTGCTTTAATTAGACTTTGGAAGGGAAGATTAACACTATATAAAGGAAAAAATATCTGAATTCATCAGCCTTTTTCTTTCTTTCTATTTTTGGCAAATTAGGGTAATTTCTTTCTAATATAACCTCACGCTTTAGAAATATACATTTTCCACCAATAAAATATAATGTAGATGTTCATTCCATGCTTTTTCAATCAAAAGGTAGAATTTTAGTTAACATTATTTGCATTTTTTCATGTTTCCTGTCAAAAATTCATGTTTATTAATTACTTTCTACAGCTATGCAAGTCTATATTAAGACAGCATTAAATGTGTGCTTTAATCTGTACTTTCAATCTCAAGAATCAAAAGATTTTTCAAATTGTAATTTCAAATGTGTTGGAATTTTACACTAACAAAGAAAGAAAGTAATTTTGCTAAGTAAAATTAATTAATGCAGCAATTTATTTAAATATATATATAAATCAGTTGATTTGAATCAACAAACCCTGGTACTAAAATTAAATTATATGTATGTGAATGAACCTCTCAATAAAGAAGGGAAAAGTAAAGCAATGGGAAGAGTAATTGTGTTTAATAAAAAAATGCTATCTCTAATAAATATTGTTAATTCATACTTATTAGATATGCTATGGGGCAAAAATAGTTGTTTCTAATGTAAATTTTTCAGCTACCTAAAGTAAAGTCTGACTTATGTTTAATGATTTAACTTTTTTTCCGTTAATAAATCATACATACACTCATTAATAATTATCTAAAATATTACATTTATCTCATAAAAATCAAATGTTACAAGTTTTAAAAAAACGTGAATCACATAATAAGTAATATATTGGAGAAATAAAATTATTAATGGCGAATAAGATAACATTTCTTTCAAAGAAACAATATTCGATACACAAACACACCAAAATTATTTGCATTTGCGATAAACATAGTTTTATGCAAATATATCTATATGTACCGTATTTTTCGGCGGAAGAGCCGCGGCACTATCGAAAAAAAAGTTGTTTTTTCCCTACATGCGGCGCTTCCGACGAAATATTTTTTTGTAGCAAAAAAATTTGTCAAGGAAAGTTATTTAAGATGAAATGATTTTCTGGAAGAAAGACTATTAAAAAAAATTAATAACGAAGTCGAAGAAATATTCGCCCGTATCGCGATCTGCTGCAGAACATAGCCAATTTTTAGCAAATTTTCGGCAGCAGCCTGTAAGAAAATAAATAAACGAAATAATAATTTTAAAAAAACATCGCATAAGGAGAAAATTTAAAAGCTATGCATCTTGTATCCACCCCCAGCTTAAGGAAAAATCGCAAGCTAGAAATCTATTTAGCGCCTTGGCAATTGTAATTGCGCCTTGGCAATTTAGCGCCTTGTACAATTAATGCGAACAGAAAAGGAAGAATAGGACCCTAAATCCGACACTCACGGGACTGACGAAATGCCGAACTTCGGATCTCTTTCGGAAATTCCAATATGGCCCCCAAATATTACTATAATTCAATTCCACTGTTAATTTCAGAAAAACCAATAAATTTAGTCAAGTTTCGATCGTAGATTATGATGGGGTGAATTTAAAACTGGCTCATCTTCAGAGAAATTTTACTTAATCAAAATAATAATCTATATAATATAATCAAGAAGAAATCCTATGAAGAAGAAATAATCGTTTCTTCTTTGGAGCGAGATCATAGTTCTCGTTTTTTCTTTTAGATAACATTTTGTTTTAACAGAAAACGCTTACCTCGCAAGAAAAAGAAGAAAAAAAGCTAACAGGGAACTACAAAAAAATTTTTTTTTAACAATTAATGCTAAGAAACTAACAATGAATAACAACAAAAAACAAGCTAAAAACTAATAACGATAAAAAAAAAACAAGCAAGCAACAATTAACAAGAAAAAAAAAGCGGCAAAATAAAAAAAAATTAATGAATCGAATAAAAAACCGCAAAAGGGATAAATTCATTTTCTTGTCCACGTGGTAGTTTCAATGTCAACTGGGTGTGGCCAATTAATGGTCAAACAGAGGAGGGAAATTTGGGGGCAAATCAGTAAAGCACAAGCACAGCTGTCAAGATTGATTGATCAGTTTCTTCCAACTTCCATTTCTTTATTTTGTTCATTGGAAATGCAGGTGTTTTTACTTCTCACTTTATTTTAAACTGCTTTAGAAACAGATGTTTCTTTTGATACAGATTTATTATTTTTTTTTCTTCAAGCTTCTTTTTTATTTTTAAAAGATGAAATAAAGTAAGTTACTTCAACAGAATAAAATTCAAAATAAAAAGAATATAGCTGATTTTTTTTGTCTTATCAATATAAATTTCTTAAAAAAAAAAAAAGAAAACGAAAAAGATTAGATCAGATTAAGTGCCGAATTTTGGAATGCTGGATTAGGGGTCCCATACCCTTTTCTTTTCCCCAACCCCTTTAAAATATAACTGATTGATTCCTCCTAAACAGCTCCAGTAGAAATGACACGTGGAGGAGGTGGGGTACACCCCACTTTTAAACATTTTCTTCTCTCTTTCTAAGTTGAGTCACATTGGGTTATTTCCATTGAAGGAGAGGGCATTCTACCCACTAAAATTCCACCCTCAAAGATTGTGAATTTGAAACTTATTTCCCCTTCGTTCATTCCTTCAGAATTTTTTTGGGGCCTGCTTAGTTATTTCTTATTCTTGTTATTATTAGTTATTTCGTTATTATTAGATGCTTCGTTATTATGAATTAGTTTTTCCCCAAATTCTTAACGGTAATAAATTTCAAAATCTTTCTTTTAATAAATTTTTATTTTATTTTTCTTATAAAATTGTTTTACGGATTTCTGTAATCAGTTCAGCCTTAATTCAGCTACTGAACATATAAATATTTTTTTGCCGTTCTTCTGTTTTTTGGCTCGGTGCCAACTGGTAAGAACAACTTTATTTTATATAGTTTTGTTGTTTTCTTTTCCTTTTTTTTTTGCTGAAAGAGAAAACTTTTTTTGTTGCTTTTTTTTGCTGAAAAAGAAATTTTTTATTATAATTTAGAAATTAAAACTTTACTTTATGAAATGCATAAAAATATTTAATTTTTTATTATACAGATACTCTAAATGGTAATTTAAAGGTCTCTTCTAAAAGGATGCTGATATGCGCGGCTTAGCACCATTGCGGCGCTTGCGCCGGAGTGGCGCTTACTATAACTTTTTTTAAGAAATTTTCATTTTTATCGAGGTGCGGCGCTTGCGACGAAGCGGCGCTTTCGGTATGTATTTATTTTAATACGGCATGTATTTATTTTAATTATTGAACACTTTTCAATTCCTTCTTTAAAACATATTGAATTGGAACTAAATTGCACAGATATTGTGGAAGAATCATATTAAATATTTGAATATTATTTTCCAGCCATGCTATATTATTATTTTCCATGTATATTTATGAATATTATTTTCCAGCTATAAAATATTTTTATCAGTTAACATTCAAAAACCACAATATTACAAAAGTATTAGAAAGTATAAAATCAAAAGAGAAAGAAATTTAAGTGAACATTTTTGAAACATAAGTTAGGATAGGTTTTATTAGCGCTTCGTATACCACTATTTTGGTCTTTTAAATTACATGGAATTTCAGCAACTTGCTGTGATTTTTTTAAATCAAAATATGTCAAAAATATTCTAATCTTACAGCTTGAAAGAGTCTCATCAAACGTGGCCTTTCATCTTTGGGAATATTATGTGTGAAGAGCCAACGCCAATCGGCCTGTGCAAAGTGAAAATGGCAGAGCAGCCGATTACTTGTCTCCCAGACTTTTTTTAATGCTCCTCTTTCAGCTGATGAATCATCAGTCATAACTATTTCCGGATGCTATGGATAAAATCAAGAATTTAGTCATTATTTTTTAATAAATTTCAACAAAAAGTATTATTTAAACTTATTAAGAAATCAAAAAGTGAAATTAATTATAATAATTAATGCAAATTGAACAGATTCTTTCTTTACTTTCAAGAAAAAACTATAGAAACTGGCAAATCTATATAAACATGGTGTGTAACATTTTTAAAATGTGCTTATTTTTCATTTACATTTCTTAAAAACTCTTAAGTGTTTTTTTTTATACAGGGTTTGTAAAATATGCTTAATTTTCTACCTTTTAAAAAGAGATATTTTATTTTGCTGTGTCGATTGTTGTTCTAAATTACAAACAAATGCATGATTTTGCCAATTTTCTCTGAAATATTTATCAGAAACTAGTTATTTTATCATGATTATGAGAAGTTTGTACAAATGTTTATGAAATTTAATGATTTTATGTTCATAAATTAAGAACTTTAATCTATAGAAAAGAATTTTTATTACTGCACGGATCCTAATTATGATTTTTTTTTCGGAAAGTGATTAAAAATATTTTTTGCGTGCTTAAAAAGTGCTTATCTTTTGTTGAAAAATCTGGTTATGCATTCAGCATAAAGCTAATACTAGCAATTTATACTTATTTATACTTTATCTTACTTGGTAATGCTTTATTTACCTAATTATAATATGATAGTAGTGATCATTATGGAGTATAATTGATAATATCTCAGAATATGTAGTGGTACTTGTAAAAATTATTTTAAGCCAGTCTAATTGTCTTAGGAACTTTTTAAACAATTTTTTTAAAATTGACTAACCATGTTAAGAAAATGACAATTATATTCTTAGGTATCTATATTTTAAATTGCTCCATAAAAATCATTAGTTTTAAAAATTTTCAAATTTGGGCAAAAAATATATAAATAAAACCTTTTTTTTAGCCCACCACAAACCTTTTGATTTTTTCAAAATTCTTTTATTAATTTAAAACAAGTTTACAGTGACTTTTTAACCAAATTGAAGTATATGTATGCACCATGTATAAACATATCGTGAATACAATTTACTATCTCCTGCTAAGAAAAGTCTTGAAATATATTAAATTCGCATTCTCTCCATATTTCAAAGGTGAGGGAAAGTCGTACAAGATGATGAACCAGCTTTTGAAGGAGAATACTACTAACTGTATTAATCATTAAACATTTATTGGCTAAGTATACCACTAATTACATCTGTAAATGCAGTTGATAAATTATTCTATCATTCTATTAGCTATTAAATCATTAAGCTAAATCACAAATATCTAAATACAAATAACTTTTTTGTAATAAATCTGAAAATCTTACATCATTCCCACCAAAGCATAAAGGAAAATTCTTCTTCAACAAGGCAAATGCGTTGATGTAGTTTTCCATGGTTTGTCCAGAATGTATTAAAACACTTATCGGAAGAGCTCCTATTTTGGTAGCAGCAAGCAGTATGGTCATTGTGGATGACAAGCCCTCACAACCACTCGTGGAATCTACGAAGATCATCTCTTTTGCGAAGTTGGAGTTATGAATTCTCTTCATGACTGAGGTGGCAAGCAATACGGACCAAGAATCTCCTTCTTGTACATCCCTATGTATATTAATTGCCCCTATGTATATTAATTAGACAGGATTATATAAATTTTAGACAATTCTTTTAAAATTAATTAAAAGGCAAAAATAAATTTAAGTTTTTAGAATGTAGTCCAATACTATATGGATCATGTTCCCTAAACATGTACTTTAAAAACTATTGAAAAAATCTATTAAAAATTTAAAAAAATAAATGGTGAGAAAAAATTTAATTATTCTGAATAGTTAAATCACAAAATAAATTGTTTTCATTAATAAAAAGAATTTTGAAATAATTTGCTTTCCTTTAAAATATCAATCTTTAAATTATCTGAAAAACTTTGTCTCTGAGTATTTGTGTCATTCCCTTGCCGAGAAGAAAATATAATTTTTAAATCAGTGTCATTGTTGGATACTTTGCACTACTTTTGATTTTGTTTAACAAACATAGTTTAGCTAAAGATTGAAGAATTATTCAAATATTTTGGTAGTATTTTAATTACCTGTTATTGGCATGTTCTTTATGCACTTATTTTTTATTAGAACTAAAATAACCATTAAGTAATTTTTAAAATACAGTTTTTTTCAAATTGATATTTAAAAAATAATGCAGCTGCTCTGTAATGCTATTATTGTGCTAAATAAAATAATTTAGATTTCTGTTATATCTTTGTTGTCATTCCCCTATCATTATTGAGGGGTGGGGAATGACAAATATTAGTTAATAACTATGCTTAGAATTGAATACATTATAATTTAATTAGAAATAGAATAATTTAGATTAGGAATAAGTATTAGGAATAATAAGCCTTTCTCAGTTCTCAATAATCATTTATTTGCAATATTTTCCAGATTAGAATCTTTTGTTTTTAAGAAATGTTTCTTACAATATAATCATAAGCAAACTACTTAATATGTGTTTTCTTTTTTCTCTCTGTCACTTATATTTTCTTGATAAGAAACTAATGGGAGAGAAAAAGAATATTATTATGGTGATTAAATATTAAATTACTAGCATTGTTTCATATGGAGCATAAATAATTATTAAGAATTGCTTGAAAAAATAAAAAAGTTTAAAAACAAAATCTAAATTTATAAGCACAAAAAAGATTGAAGTATTAAGGAATAAAATATTTTAAAAAAGACATTAAAAAAAGCTCATTATAAACATATTCACCATTAGCTTCGTAGAAAGGGATTTTTTCTTTAAGTTTTTCAAAAGGATTTACTACAGAACCTAGATGATCATATCTCCAGCAGTCATGCAAATATCTAATTTGCTCACAGGTAGGGTTTATTGCTGCATTTGCCAGGCTTTTAAAATCCTCTTCTACCAAGTATCGATTTTCATGAAATTTCAGAGCTTCAGCTACAGTCATACCACTTGAAAAATATTCATGAAACAAATCCTTAACCTGGGGGAAAAATACAATAATTTAGTTTTTAGAGTTACAAACTGCAAGAAAGGTATAAAAAAATATTTACCTCATCATTAACCCTTAACATTCTTAAAGCTTCAGCAGATGTTGTACTGTGGGAATGACAAATGCCAATCTTTATTTCTCCTCTTAAAGCAGGTTTTTGACGAAGGAAAATATCCTTTTTTACGATATTTTTTGTGACATTTTTTACTATGATATGAAGTTTTGCATTGCATGCAGCATTTCTTTTACACCCAACATACTTTTTAGCTTCTAAATTTGTTTTATTCTTTTTGGAATGTTGACATATCCACACTCTTGAGAAAAATCTGAAATAAGATCAAAAAAGTTCGATGAATTTATTATTCAAAGAATTCACTAAACTTCTCAACTTAGTTTAACATCTTGCATATATATCTTTAACTTGATATCTCATAAAATCAATAAAATTAAAACAAGTTTTGTTTTTAAATAATGAAAATAAGTGGATCAATCATGTAGTATTATTCTTTTCGTTCAGTCAAGATTAGGGATATAAAAATATGCACAGTAATATAAGTAGCAAGAAACGTAATTCTATATGCAAAAGTTATGTATAAAGATTTTGTCAACACAATTTAATTTATCAACTCATAACGAGCTACAAATTTTAGTAACCTTGCTATAAACAGTTTATTTCTAACTAGAATTTTTAATTATTTTGATGTTTAAAAAAACAAAACCATTAAGTACAAATTGACTTATTTTGCATTTCAATTTTATATTGATATTTTTAGGATTCAAATTTTATATTGATTTTTTCATAATATTTTCATTTTATCTTCTTCATAGTTTATCAAAAAAAAAAAGAAAATTATGTTCTGATTTATAAATTAAAAGTATTTCTTCCTTTGATTGGGTTTAATAAACAAAGATATAAATTAATTTCTAAATAAAATGATGGATATCTGCATCAAATTCTATTTATCTCTTGAATAAAACTTACTTCATGCCTCTCATTTTAATTATTTATGAATTTTTATTTTTTTAATTTAAAATATATATCATCAGAAAAATAAATAATTCAAAAAACATACCAATTAACATATCAAACAACAATTTGTATTTTTCTATAATATTCATTCTTTCTCAAAATTTTCAGGAGAGAGGAATAAAATAAAAAAAAATTAAAACGATTTAAATTAAACAAAACGTTTCGGTTTCAAAAAATGAAAAATGTTTTTTCCTACAACATTAAGGAGCTGAGAACTACAAAAGCTTGAAAATTTTTAAAGAATTATTGATTTTACTAATTTAAATTACACTCTTTAAGTAAATTGTGAATATAAAAATTATGTTGAAAATTGCACTCATTTTATGGCCACTCTTATAAATTTTTAAGAGAGTTTCAGAATAATAGATTAAAAATTATTCCAGTATAATACTTTTTAAGTTACTTATAGAATATAGAAGTGAGAAACGTTAAATTTATCAGCTGTTATTAAATTAAAAATATGACTTATTTATTAAAATAAAACATATTGCAGGGATGGCGAACCAATGGCACGCGTGCCATTTATGGCACGCGACACAATATTTTGGGCACTGCACCCGATCACAATTGTTGTTACACTATTAATTGTTATTACACAAATGTTTATGAAGCATGTGCAACAATTAAATTAAAATTCATGAAAAACAAACAAAATAATAAACAATTATTGATAATAAAATTAAAAATTAATACTAAAAAAAAACAATAACCGTAAAAAACAAGCTAACAATAAATAACTAGAAAAAAAAGTCATCAGTCTTGCCTAAACTAACATCTTACAACCTAATATAAGTTATTTGTCATCTAATCTGCAACAACAGAAGTCATACTGATGTTATTTTAAGTTGAATTACGTGTGTAACTGAGACATTGCAAAATGTTTTTTTTTTTCTTTTTTCAATGTAAATAAAGAGTTTTGAGTTGATAGTATTTAGTATTATTATTTTCCCAATAATCACGAAGTCAAAAAAATTTGACGGCACGTCTATGACCTCATTAAGCAATTTTTTAGAGAGAATGGCACGTTGGTGTATAAAGGTTCGCCACCCCTCGTGTAGGGTTTACCGGGCTGAGGCGCTGAATCTTAAAAAAGCATTGATGTGGGGTATACAGTTGAAATGTATACCGGGCAGTGGTACTTAACTAGACCTAGTATACACAGTAAAACCCCGCTATAGTGAACACGGTTTATAGTGAACTCTCGGATATAGTGAACGAAATGTTCGCTCCCGTACCTTGGCACACACGTATAATGTTATTTTTTGTGGATATAGTGAACCAAAAAAAAAAAAAAGAGAGGAAGTTGAATATTATGAACTTTTTTCTGTCTTCGACTGATTTTTTTTCTTCATTTTCCGGTAATTTTGAAATTTCTACATATTTTACATATACCGATTTTTAAAACAATCTATAGAGTGGAATGTAGCGGTAAGCATTTTTTCTGGTTTGTTTCTTTTATCTCAATTTCCCATCCCTAAATAAAGGTCATCCCTAAGTTTTTTGTACGCAAGACGAAGAGTAATAAAAATAAAATTTAACACATTTTTTGTTAATACACATTGTTTTTTAGTCATATTTGTACTTCATTTTATGGGTCATTTATTTAAATAATGTGTAATAAAAGGGTGGAATTCAGTACCATTGGTTAAAATTGTTTGCGGTATGGAAATAGTGAACTCCCGGTTATAGTGAACCTAAATTTCGGTCCCTTGAAGATTCACTATAGCGGGGTTTGACTGTATTTCGGACATTTGCCAAAGCAACTATGTGATTGTCGACATTCACCGCTGGAAGTCAACAACCACTAATTTCGGTCATTTACACATGCATATAGAATAAATAACACGCATTTTAATAGCACTCACATAAAAAACAATTACTAAGTCAAATTCATTTAAAATATCTAAATACTGATTACTGCATGAAGTCAGCACTAAAAAAATTAATAACCTATAAAAAAAAAACATAACTACATTTTAATGACGTTTTCACTGTGACCACAAAAACTCAAATCAAGTTTGAAACTAGCTATCACGAAAAGAAACGAATCGATATCCGTTTATCAAACTTTATGAATATTTAATACAGCACTTATTTTTACTAAAAATAGGCAATAATATAAAATATTGATGCATCAGTGTTTGTATGAACATTACGATCAATATAATTCCCTTTTTTAACTTTCAAACAAGTAATATATATTTTTTTTTAAAGTCAATTCCTATTTAGGACAACAGAGAAATTTTTTATTTTAGTTGTGTTTTATTAAATAATTAAATTTAATTGTCCCATATAAAACTAAAATTAATTAAATATAATGAATGAAATAATATTTGAAAAAACTATATTAATATCAAGTGTCATGCATTACACGTTTAAAGAAAATGTATTTGAACTTGAGTAGATGAATAAAAAATATTTTATTAACGATTGAGAATTTGAACAAGATAAATAAATATATATGGATGTTGTTTTCGACACTAGGGAGAGCTGCAAGCTGTATGCCGCTTATACTTCCGGGTTACTGTTTCCGGCAGTGGCGTACGCAGAATTTTTTCAAGGGAATTTTTTCATAATTTTCAAAAATTACTAAAAGAAATTCGAGTATGTAATAAAGCACTATTATTTCCCTAATTAAGACAGCTAGACAATTTTGACTTTTTATTTAGACAACATTGTTTAGTTGAATTTTGATTTGATTTTTTAAATTTAATAACATAATGTAATATCTTCTGAAAAAAAGACATATGGGTGGGAAGTAACACTTTGAGGGCCACTTCCACATTCATCAGATTTTGTTATGCTAGATGCTAGAAACGTTTTCTTCAACGGAAGTATCACATTTCCGTACAACAGAAAAACTTACATTGGTACTATATGCTGTCACTTCACTAATTTCAGGTCGTGATTTTTCTCAAAGTAATTAAAAATTGTTAAATTCTTGCGTTTTGACATCCTAAAGATCCAAGAACAGAAAATATGTATATATATATATTGGCGCAGAAATATCCGCTATGTTACTATCTCAAAGTTTCGAGCGGGTAGGAATAACTTCAACGAGCACAGTATCACCAATGGTATTGTTACTGATTTCTTCCCTGGTCAAAATAGTGGCGACGACGGGTTCGGCGATTGAATGAACTTTTTGTTAAGACAAAACAGATTTAGCGACAAGCTCCGAAAGACAAGCGGCAGAGATAACTCTTAGTCCGACTAACTAACTCCACTAGCTAACTATTCAAGTTTTATCAGTGTACCTATCCAGTGTTGGATATCTGCTCTTTCATCGCAATAGAAAAATAAATTGGAGGATTAAGTTAAATCTCAGAACGTA